GGCCCAAAGCGCGTTTCCGCTCCGGGGCTTCTTCCGTAATCGTAGCAATTGCTCAATGGTGTGTAAAGGGGCCCCGGAGCTTGGCAGGCGGACAGGCGGGGCTGGCCCGGCCTCGCCTGACAGTATCCAAGGCCCCATAAAATGATTTCCGAGCTTTTAAAGAAGAAAACGTGTCTGTGTCATTGTCAAGAGACTTTATTTTCATGCAGTGGGTGATCACTGGGCTTACCAGGGGGGAGGAACTAAGTGATCACAAAGATGCACCTGCTCCGGTAACTCCGGTGACTTCAGGCCCATCAGGGAAAGTACAGGCGCTCGCGGTACCCGGACTGAAGTACACAGATGCCCCCTGATAGCCGCGGGGTGCGGTTCCGGGAGCCCTGGCGCGGCCCCTGGTAGAAAGGGGCACAGCATTTCCAATCACCTGCAACCCTCCCCATATGCTGTGTCAGCTCCAGTCCACTTACCACCCCTAATACAATGTCAGTAGTTGTTACCCTGTATTGCTCAGGGGGAAAAGGTCTGTACATGTTTAGTACAGATGCAGCCGGCAACCATTTCAGGCTTCACCAAGCGGTGCCCGTCAGCAGCCATGGAACGGGTTTGCCAGCTATTTTCCGCTTGTGGTTGGTTGAGCGCCTAGGTAGGTGCAGAACCCCTGGATATGGAGGGCGGGTTGTGCTGGGCGGTAAAGCTTACGTGCTGACGGTGTCCAGACACGTGTTTGTCCTCCGGCTGCTGGGGGAACGCAGGAGCCACCGCCCTGAAAAGAAAGCATCCGTTTCCTGTGCATCCCAGCAAAAGGAGCGCACGTGCAGGGGGAGGGGCTGGCCAGCCTCGGGAGTCGGTGGAGGACGTCAGGGTGTGGGTGGCGAAGCGTGAGCTTTGCAGTTTGGTTGGGGTGATACACGTTGAAATCCAGTTGTGTTGGAAGAGTTTGGGTTTGATCCACGTCAGTGGGGACCGTTGATATTTGTGTTTTTGTCCTAATCAGAGGCCAGGGAAGATGGAAGTGGGGAGAAAACTGGTATTTCAGGTGTAAAGTGACTTGAACGAGTGTGCTGGCAACAGGTGAGCATTGTGCAAGAGATGGTGAAAAAATAACTGTAGAACTTGACAAATACGGAGTGAGGGCGTGGAGCCAGGGGAAGAGGAAGAATTTGAAATTAATCCCAGGAGGAGTAAGTTTCCAGGAAAGATGCGTTTTTCTTTTTTTGTTTCTTTTTGGAAAGATGAGTTGTTAATCAGCATATTTGTTAGTTTCATGGAATGACTTGGGAAATCACAAAAATGTAATTAGGTTCACCTAGGTTTCAACCAGTGTTGAGCAGGTGAATGAGGTAGGTACTCTCTGTTAAAAAAAAAAAAAAGCAAGAGCAGAACCTTCTTATAGTTTAAGAGCTTACAGTTAAACACAGACATTGGTGATGAGGAAAATGACGCTGTAGGTTGTATAGCACGTGACTCACTGTGTTCATGCTACTGAACTCGAGGAGTTAGTTGTACAGACAAACCTCGGAGATATTGCAGGTTTGGTTCCAGACCTCCACAGTGAGCTGTAATCTTTTTGTTGTTGGAGGGTCTTGCCTACAATTTGTATAAAAAACACACAACATGAGGCACAATAAAGGAGGCATGGCCTTTTTGGTGACTTGAATCGAGTGGTCATTTACTAACCATGGAGATATGTTTGCTTTAACAGGAATTTCAGTATTCAGTCTCATTCTGTGGAATGGGCCTTGACCTGCCTATACTTTTAGTCTCCTTGCCTGTAAAATAAGAATAATAGTACCTACTGGCTGGTTCTACTTCTAAAACATCAATTTTCAACCTTTGTCCTGCAAGAATTTTAAAACATGCGATCCATGACTATTTAGTCAGGGGTACTGACCTCTTTCCCCTTAGGTTGTCAAAACAAACAAACAAAAAAACACACAAAAAAACCTGATAACAGCCAACACAACAATAGCTATCTGGTGTGAATCTATCAAACTTATATCAATTGTTTGGTCATATCGGCAAAAACTATATTTTTTGGTGTGTGGCAGAATTTTAATAATTAGTTCATGTGTGCCATGAGATGGGAAGGGTTGAAAATCGCTGCTTTTTAAAAAATATATTTTTATTGATTTCACAGAGGAAGGGAGAGGGAGAAAGAGAGAGAAACGTCAACGATGAGAGAGAATCATTGATCTGCTGCCTCCTGCACGCCCCACACGGGGGATTAAGCCTGCAATCCGGGCATGTGCCCTGACTGGGAATCGAACTGTGACCTACTGGTTCATAGGTCAACACACTGAGCCACGGCAGCCGGGCAGAAAATCACTGCTCTGAAGATGTATTTCAGATCTCTCTGTTTGTATCAACCCTTTTGTGACTTAGCCACATAAACTCTTGCTGGGCACCTCCTTTTTCTACTCCCGTCTGTCCCTCTACAGTCATTTCTCCACACTGTGGTTAGAGTGACCTTTTTATAACAGGAAAGCCTGCAGTGGCTTCTCCTCGCACCGACCAGAAAACACTCCTCCTCATGGCCTGCTGGGTCCCTGCTCACTGATCCAGCCTGCGCTCGCCCCTGGCTGTGCGTTCCTGTGTAGGTGGCTCCTGCTACACTACTCCGCAGCCTACACTGGGCAGGGGCCAAGCTTGCTCCTAACCCAAGGCTTTTGTCCTAGTTCTCCCCTGTGCCTCCAACGCTCTGTCCTCCATCTTCCCAAGGCTCTTTCACAGTCATTTCTCAGCTCCAGTGACCTCTCCAGAGAGCTCTTTTTTTTTAAAAATATATTTTATTGATTTTTTTACAGAGAGGAAGGGAGAGGGATAGAGAGTTAGAAACATCGATCAGCCGCCTCCTGCACACCCCCTACTGGGGATGTGACCGCAACCAAGGTACATGCCCTTGACCAGAATCGAACCTGGGACCCTTCAGTCCGCAGGCCGACGCTCCATCCACTGAGCCAAACCGGTTAGGGCTCCAGAGAGCTCTTTTTTCACCCTCCCTTGTAAAATAGGCCCTCATTATCCCCCTTTGTGGCTTCGTAATGCATTTACCCTGTCTGAAGTGATTTTGAGTTGCTAGTAAGCATCAGACTTTGTTCAAATATTTGTATAGCATCTCCTGCCATCACTGGGATAGAAAATGAAATCAATCTCTTCTTGGAACTCACAGTCCGCTGGGGGCCCCTGAGGGTTACAAAATTATGTATTCCTGGAAAAATTAGTGTGCACAGGGCACTGTGGCAGCTGGGATGGGAGTTCCTGTCTGCCTGGCATGATCAGGTGAGGCCTGCAGAGTGGGTGGTACGGCTGAGCTGTCCTTGGGAGATGACTGTGCTATAATTCTGTCATCCATTCCTGAGCTATTTAATGAGTTAAGGGGGCCCAGTGCCCAGTGCCAGCACCGTAGCAGTGAAGGAGAGACAGCCCCGCTCCCAGGAAGCTTGCATTAGGTTGAGAGAGAAAGAGAGACTAAAGATGTGAACCCCATATTTACACAGTGTGAGAGGGGCTTTGAAAAAGGTAAACGTGGAAATAAGGGAGGCCAACTTTAAATAGGGCGGCTAGGGAGAACCACGCTGGGGATGTGTCTTTTGAGCTGAGACCTAAAGAATGAAAATGAAGCAGGCGGGAAGCTCTGGGGAAAGGCTCTGACCGGCAGAGGCACAGAGCAGAGATCTGGAGGTGGGATGGGTTCAGAACCAGGCAGAGGCTGGTGTGCCCGGCATACAGCAAGAGCGATGTGCGTTTGGAAAGAAAATCAGGAACCACATCATACCGGGTCTTGAAAGATCAGGGGAAGAGTTGGGGTATTATTCCAAGGGCTATGGAAAGCCATCAAAGGATTTTAATTAGGGGAGTGATGCCATCCAGTTTACATTTTTAAAACTGGATGGACTGGAAGGGAAGTTGGAAAGTAGGAAACTAGGTAGAAGGTTATTATTGTAGCAAGAGGTGGCGGCTGGAACTAGATGGAGGTAGTGGGATGAAGCAAAGTGGAAGAATTGAGGTATATTTTGGACACAGTTTCGACAGTACCTGTGATAGAGTATCTGGGTTTTAAGGAAAGATGAAAGGCGAGTCCGAAGATTTTGGCTTGAGCACCTAGATAAATTGTGATGCAGTGTTATGAGGTGGGAAATACTGGGAAAAAAACTAATTTCCTAGGCATGGAGATTGAGAGCCATGAGGGTCAGAGCACAAGCCTGGGTTGTGGGCTCTATCTCTAGTAGGGAGTGTGCAGGAGGCAGCTGATCAATGTTTCTATCTCTCTCTTCCTCCTTCCAAGAAAAAAACATCCAAAAATAAAAAACGTTAAAAAAATTGAAGCTGTCAGGTCAGCACTTGGATACATGAGTCTGGAGGTCACTTGAGAGGGAAGGCTGGAAATAGAAATTTGGAAATCATCAGGCTGTTAATGCTGTCTAAAGCCATGGAACTAGATATAATTAAGGAGATAGTGAAGTAAAATAAAAAGGGGCCTAGAACAGAGCCCTGGGACATTCTAGCACTTACAAGTTGGGAGAAGGAGGATAAGACAGCAAAGGAGACAAGGAATTAGGGAGGTCTGAGGGAAACTCAAGACTGAGTTAAGATAGAAGCTGAGGAAAAGGAGGGTTTGCATAGTGGATTACATACATCACCTCATTTCATTCTCAAAACAACCCATTTGAAAAAAGCAAGGTAAGCCCTGGCTCTTAACTACTGTTAGGGCTTTAGCCTGTGACTTGGGCTCTGAAGGAATTCACAACTGAGAGAAGAGATAGATTCACAGAGTTTATTTTACTTTCCGGAAGGGAAAGGGCCTGTGCATACTAATCAATATAAAGGCAAAGAAATAAACAGTGGCCTGCTCTTTTAATGGCTGCTGTTGCCAGGTGACGGGGAAGGGAGGAGGATTTTGGGGCTGGAGCTGAGCAGATATCTGGGGTTTGTCTTTGAAAAGTTTGTTTTTAGTCCAAGCAGATGTCCTAGAGAGGGGTCTTTAGCAGGATCTTCACAAGCCTGTAAAACATTCTTAGAGCGAAAGTTACAAAGAGTTCAAAAGGGGACCAGCTTGGGTTTGAAAAGGAGGGAATAGAGTCCTTCTACTAACTAAAAATTTCTGGCCCCAATTTCTGTGGAGTCATTAAAACCAAAGGGAGGAGGGGTATGCAAGAATGTAGCCTTGAAAGTAGCTTACCTTGTCTTGCAGTTTGAACAGAGGGGCTGTTTGGATCAGAGGAGTGAGCAATCTTGTAGTTTATTTACCAGGTGCTTTTTCATATATTGTGGAAGGCTACAGGAAAGAAAAGAAAAAGCCTACCTTTTCCCTCCTAACACTGTGCATGATTCCCAAAGAAGAAAAGTGAATCCATTGTTGCCAAGAGGTGATTATAGTGTTTATTGGATTTTGCTCAGAGCCAATAATAGTATAGATAACAGCCAGATTGGAGGAGGTTGAACAGAAAACAGGAGGTGAGGACAAGGAAACAGAACCTGTATGTAACTTGTTGGAGAACGTACATTGTACAAAGGAGCTAAGAAATGAGGTGAGAGTTCAGTGGGAATGTGGCTTCAGGGAAATTTGTTTTTTAGGTGGGAGGACCCAGAGCCTGTTGTATGCTTATGGTATGAACCAGGAGTAAAGGTGGGGTGTGATGTAAGGGAGAGGAAAGGGATCATGGAAGATGTAGCATCTTTTTTTTTTTAATATTGATTGTATCCCATTTTGTTTTAAAAATATTTTTATTGATTTCAGTGAGAAGGGAGAAGAAGAGAGAGACAGAAACAACAGTGATGAGAGAGAATCATTGATCAACCACCTCCTGCCTGCCCCCTACTGGGGATCGAGCCTGCAATGCAGGCATGTGCCCTGACCGGGAATTGAACCATTATCTCCTGGGTCATAGGTCGACGCTCAACCACTGAGCCAACTGGGCACATGTGGCATCTTTGAAAAGGCAACTGGAGTTGGGATCCAGGGCAAAGTGGAGAGACCAGGGAACTTCCAATTAAACGGAACCAGAAGCCTTAAAGAAGTGTCAAAGTTGCTTAAAAGGCCCTTTGATTGCAAGGAACAGCATCCCATTCCAAACTAGCTAAGTAGGAATGGGCATATTTGAAGATATGCAATAGGCAAGCTCTGGACAGCCAAGGATAGAAAATAAAGTGCAGCTGGCCTTGCTGAAAACCTAACCAGATCCCTAAGCAGAGAATCGTCCTTGACTATTGGTGTGAGCCATGGCCATTTTCCTCCTTTTCTCTGTGTAGGTTCTCTTCCTTTGCTTCTCTGCTTACTCATGCCTTTTCTCTTTGCTGTAACCTCTGCTTTTACATGGCATTTGGTTGCCATGGTGCTGAGTAGCTCCAGCCCTTTGTGACCTTTCAGTTCAAGTGCCCATCATCATGTAGTTGACCCTCAGGGTGCCAGCATGGGTCAAAGTCCCTTCCATCCTTGGTCCTGTTTGCTCTGACGAGTGGGAGGATATGGGAATCACATTGTATGGGCCTAAGGCTGTCCCTTACAGACCCTTTGATTTGGAGAGCGATGACTGGCATGTTTACTACAAGTAGGAACTTTTCATGCAAAATTGGATCACAGATAATATGTTAGAATCCTTCATAAGTAGGTTAAATAAGCAGCAGCCCAACCTAAGACATGTTAAGGGTACACTTGTTATTGCACAGCTGATACTGAGGAGTACATGCATTAAGCAGATGCACTTGGGACTTGCCTACTGAGTACAGATGTGTGCTGGCCTGGGCCAGTACATACACAGTCACTTGGGTGGACATGTGAAGCTCAGAGTAAAAACACAAACCTCGCTAATCTAATGACATGGCTTTCAGAGGTGCAAATCGAACCTGATGTGTTTTCCTTGGTAGATCACTTCCTTCTTTCCCCTGGATGCTTTTAGAACCTTTTCTTTTTCATTAATTTTTGATAGTTTTAATACAGTGTGCCTTGGAGAGCCCGGCCAGCATGGCTCAGTGGTTGAGCATCGATCTATGAACCAGAAGGTCATGGTTTGATTCCCGGTCAGGGCACATGCTTGTTGTGGGCTCAATCTCAGTGTTGGACGTGCAGGAGGCAGCCAATCAATGATTCCCTCTTATCATTGATGTTCTATCTCTCCCTCTCCCTCCCTCTCTGAAATCAATAAAAATATATTTTGAAAAACACACAAAAGAAAACAATGTGCCTTGGCGAGGGCCTCTTTGGATTCAGGTAACTAGGGTTTCTGTTTGCTTCTTGGATTTGAGGATCTAGTCCTTTCCATAGTTTTGGGAAATTCTCATCCACTGTTTGTTTGAAGAGGCTCTCTCTTCTCCCTCTCTTCTGGTATGCCTGTTATTCGAAAATTGTGTTTTCTGGTGAAGTCAGATCCCATAGAGCTCTTCCCTTTTTTTTTTTTAACCCTCAGGTCTCTCTCTCCTTCCCTCTGTGCCATTTATAGATTCCTGTCTTCGATGTCACTAATTCTTTCCTCCATCTGGTCAGCTGTTTTCTATGCTCACTACTTCACTCTTAATCTCCTTGTGGTTGTCTCTTCTTATGACCACTGTTTGTCAAATATACTTGTTTTTTTTGTCTGTGCTTTTGTTTATTATTTGCAGTGAGTCAGGACAAAGCCTGTTTAATCTCTGAAAAGCTAAATTCTTGGGTCAGTTTAAAGTTTTTAGATGTCTGTAGACTTGTTTTATTACCCGGTGAGATATGTTTGGACATAACTATCAACAAGATTATGTTCTAAATATAAGTTGTCATGTTTGAATAGTTATTATGCTTTCTGACCTTAGAGGACAGAAAAATCTTCTTTGTTCTTTGTCCTGTAAATCGTCCAATTTCAGATGAATTAGGTCTCTGAACTGTGACCTGCATTTTTAGAATTTGTTATTATTGGCATTTGCTCCTAAGAACAGTGTGGGAAAAACTGAGATGTAGGGACAAGATAGTTATTCTTTTCTTTCTTAAAAAAGAATTTATCTGGTAATGTAGACCATGTTTATGTAAGGTGTGTTTGCCTCACATAAATGAGAAACATTTGTTAGTAGTGGGTGGGGAGAAATAGCAAGTTTTACTTAAATATCTTTTTAAGCAATGAAGATATTTTCTTTTAAAAAATATTTTTATTGATTTCAGAGAGGAAGGGAGGGGGGAGAGAGATAGAAACATCAATGAGAGAGAATCCTTGATCAGCTGCCTCCTGCATGCCCCCTACTGGGGATCAAGCCTGCAACCCATGCATGTGATCTTGACCAGAATTGAACCTAGGACCCTTCAGTCTGCAGGCTTATGCTCTATCCACTGAATCAAACCGGCCAGGGAAGGATAGTCTCTTGTAGTGTTTTTTTTTGTTTGTTTGTTTTTTTTAAATATATTTTATTGATTTTTTACAGAGAGGAAGGGAGAGAGATAGAGAGTTAGAAACATCGATGAGCCCTAACCGGTTTGGCTCAATGGATAGAGTGTCAGCCTGCGGACTGAAAGGTCCCAGGTTCGATTCCGGTCAAGGGCATGTACCTTGGTTGCGGGCACATCCCCATTTTTTTTAAATATATTTTATTGATTTTTTACAGAGAGGAAGGGAGAGAGATAGAGAGTTAGAAACATCGATGAGAGAGAAACATCGATCAGCTGCCTCCTGCACATCTCCTACTGGGGATGTGCCCGCAACCAAGGTACATGCCCTTGACCGGAATCGAACCTGGGACCTTTCAGTCCGCAGGCTGACGCTCTATCCACTGAGCCAAACCGGTTTTGGCATCTTGTAGTGTTTTAAAATTATTTAATTTAAAACTTAAATATTTAACTTATACTATATCAGCAATTTTAAGATAAACATACATTTCCAATGAACAGAAAATCTGGAAATAAAAGTATAAAGAAGCAGAGAAATCACTATAACCTCATCACTAAGAAGTATAAAATGATATACAATAATATTTTTATATCATAACATTATATTTATATTACAGGAAATAAGATATGTGGAGCGAAGTTACGCATCAAAACCTACTTTGAATGTAAGTATAAATTTAAATTGTGCTTTAAAACGAAAGAATTTAAAGGAAATGTAGTTAATAAAAAATGCATATTTTTATAATTTGTGTATATGGGAGAGTCAGCTTGGGATGATGCAATGATTTGAAATAGCTAATTATTGAAACACTAACTTCCAACTTACCATAAAAATTTTTGATCTAGTGCATAATTTCTGCTTCTTCCTTTTTGTCTACTGTAAAACCACCTTCTCTTAAAAACCAACTGGGCAGTCCTTTACTCTCGGGGACCCTCATTATGTTGTATGTGACACATTGCAGAGGCCACTTGAACGACAGTAGAAGAAGGGACTGAACCAGGCTGGTGTTAGACAGGAAGGAGCGTCCCCTGATCACCGAGTGCTTTGTGAGGGAGTCCTCTCTGTTCATGAGGGTCCCTAACATGAATAGCCTCCTACCAAAATCTGGGGAATAATTCTTATTTATTAACTTGAAATGGGAATGTGGAAGGCAAGTGTAAGGAGAGAATTGTTACAATAGTGTTTTATAATTATTTAAGAGCTCTTGTCTACTTTTTCTTAAATTTCATATTAATATTATCTTAGTAATCATTTAAGAAACTGTGGCTCTGCCTTTGTCCCAGTTGTGGTGTGGCCCTATCTAGTCTAGCATACAGGTATTGATTCCTAGCCCAGAGTTCCCTTCAGCAAGGAAGCCCATTGGTTAGGGTTATCATACAGTTAACAAGGATAAAGTTATCATTTCTTAAAGTTTGACTGAGGAGTAGAATTGAAATTTAAGCTTCTGGTTTTAAACCTCCTGTGGAGAACTGAGAAGGATCAATGCCTATTTTAAAGTAGGTTTGTTTTAAATTTTCGAATATATCTTAAATCATTAAGTACCAGCATTAAATGGATTAGTTTTACTTCTGTTCAAATATTGAGATTATTGCCAGCTGGTGTAGCTCAGCAGTTGAGTGTCAACCCAGGAACCAAGAGGTCACCGATTCAATTCCTGGTCAGGGCATGTGCCAGGGTTGTGGGCTCGATCCCCAGTTTGGGAAGTGCAGGAGGCAGCCGATCAATGATGTTCCTCTCTTATCGATGATTCCCTCTCTCTAAAAATTAATAAAAAACATTATTTAAAAATATTGATAGTATTTTAATCTTTGATGATTAACTCAGAAAACTCTGTTTCTTGGATAATAATGTCTATGAATTATGTTTACTAGTATTTAATAAAAGATGATTTGGGTAAGATATTTAAATACAATAATTATTATCATCTCCTGTCTTACCAGGAAGTGGTCATAGCAAGTGCTACAAGAACACCCATTGGATCCTTTCTAAGCAGCCTTTCCTCCCTGCCAGCCACTAAGCTGGGCTCCATTGCCATTCAGGGAGCCATTGAAAAGGCAGGTGAGTGGTTGCTTTGCTCTTTGTGTTAAGGGGCAGTGATTCACTGGAACAAATATTTTGGACATATGTAACACTTAGAAATGACTTAACGGCTATATTTCTGAATTCCCTCGTAGAGAAGTTTTTGTACTATAGAGTTAGGAATGAAACTCAAAAACTGACAAGAAAAAGAAACCATCCCTGCTATATAATGTCATGTACCTTATTAGGTAACCACTAATTATTACATTGAATAAAATATGGAAATGCATTTTTGTTTTTGAAAAAGGAATACCAAAAGAAGAAGTGAAAGAAGCATACATGGGTAACGTTATACAAGGAGGTGAAGGACAAGCCCCCACACGGCAAGCAGTACTGGGTGCAGGTACTGGGAATACATTTTGGCTTTCATACTTCAAATGTTTGACATGGCAAAACGGAGGTCATTTCAGCTTAAATAAAAAGTTAAGTGCACTTATAGTCTTGTATTGTCAGAAGTAATATTGCATACTTTATTAATTTTAGTTCTACAATTGTGTTTGAAGAGCATCTTTGTTTTTTCAAAATTATGACTTGTCTGTATTGGTTTTAGGCTTACCTATTTCCACTCCATGCACCACTATAAACAAAGTTTGTGCCTCAGGAATGAAAGCCATCATGATGGCCTCTCAGAATCTTATGTGCGGACATCAGGTAAGAAGGACCTTCTTTTCTATGTTATAGTTAAAATAATACACAATGCTAAAAGACACCAAAAATCTAAGCACATCCATGCTTTAGAAGTGCTCCTAGTATAGCTGCTGTGTTGTTTCAGACACTCAGGAATGTCTAATGTGCTAATTCCCTTTGAAATAGAGGTCAAAATGATACCGAAGTGTCTTGTGTTAAAAAGTAGTTTTCAGCCAAGATATTTTTGTCTTCAGAGTCTTTCTCTGAGATTCTTGGTAATTTCAAACATCATAAATTTTATATTTACCAGAGTAAGGGATTTCATCATACATGAGAAGAAGGTGCTGACCCTGGGAATCAAGTAGTTCATTGACCCAAGAATTGATGACTGATTTATAGTTCCTGTGTGCCCAGGTTCAGTTGTTAAATTGTACAGGTTTTCTATTGGCCTTGCTGGTTTAGATCTCTTTACCTGGGAGAGATAGCAGTATATGCTGTGGTGTGGGGTGACTAGACCTAAACCCATAGAAATAAGACTTCATTAGATCTAGCCCTTCTTTTTTCAGTTGAGGGAAGTGAGGTTGACACAAAGTTAGAGGGTTGGAAATAGAAAATAGATGTCTCTATCCCTGCTTGGTGCATTCCAGCTGATTAGGGCATAACACACCAGGATAAAAATCAATTGAGATGTTTGCAAATTGTTTCTTACATATACAAGAACCACAATTCTGTTTACTCTTGATGATATCCCTCCTTTGCTTTGTTTCCAATTGTAAGGCAAGCCAAAGAGAAAAAATATAGTGATATCTGAGCTCTGTATCAGAGACTTTATAAGTTCTATATGCATATGCTAAAACCTGACGGTATAGAAAAGTATAAAATGAAAAATAAGTTTTTTTTTTGTTCTTGCCCCTCTCTGACTGACTTGTTTACCACTTGTGTATTCTGACACTTAAGAGCAGAGAACTTTGGGCAAGTTGTTTAAACTCTGTGCCCCACTTAATGTCTTGGAGATTCTTTCTATATCAGCACATAAGATAGTATTCTATTGAACTGAACTATAATTTATTTTATGGGTCCTTATTGAATGAACACTTAGGCAGTCTCCAGTTCTTCACTATTTTACTTCATTTATTTAATGTTTTTTATTGATTTTAGAGAGAGAGGAAAGGAGAGGGAGAGAGAGAAACATCAATGTGAGAGAAACATCGATTGGTTGCCTCCTGTATGCACCCGAGTGGGGATCAAACTGGCAATGTGGGTATGTGCTCTGACCAGAAATCAAACCCACAACCTTTTGGTGTATAGGACTAAGCTCCAACCAACTGCGCCACACCAACCAGTGTAGTTCTTCACTATTTTAAGTAAAGCAGTGAGTATCCCTATACATATACCTTTGTGACTTATACATACTTGAATCACCTCCACTGAGGCAGTACAGTGTAGTGGTTAAAAACAAAATCTAGAGCCGGATTAATTCCAAATTCTACTTCTGTCTCACATTAGCTGAGCACTTACTATGTGACATTCACCAGAGATTGGTCAATAAAACATTAAAAAATCGTCATGTGCAAGTCTGTTGGAAAAATTCCTAAGAGGAAAATTTTTGAATCAGAAGATGTTAAAATTTTGATATTTTCAAATGCTTTTCATAGAAGTTGAACCAGTTATAGTTTCCAAAGGTTGTGAGAGTTTGTTTGCCTACATATAAGTTAACACTAACATTGCATATTACCAAACCCTTGTGAAACCAGTGGATGAAAAATGGTCATGAGATTGTTTAGATGTTACAAAACTTAAAATGAAAAAGAGTTTTATCTCAGTTGAGTTATTGTGGTTCTGTACCAAATGCTATTTGCACTACATTAAGATGCTTTCAGTTTATTTAACTAATTTGTGCATGTATAAAATGATCTGATTTATAGGAATATTAGGAATTGCCTTATTTTGAACAATTATCTATGATTTTGGAAAATAATCAAGTTTATTTTATTTTTCAATTATAGTTGACATTCAATTTTATTTTATAGTTATTTCAGGTACATGTAATATTATTTTATAGTTATTTCAGGTGCATGTATAATGGTTAGACATTGTCTGATTTACTTCACTTAGCATAATACCCTCTAGATCTATCCATGTTGCAAATGGTAAGATTTCTTTTTTATGGCCTAGTAATATTTCATGGTATATGTGCACTACATCTTTATGATGAATTTTATTTTATATTGAAGAATGATTAATCCTTCATTTTCTGTCTCTTACTGCCATCATCCCTAGAAAAGAAAATCTCCTATTTCAAAATAGGTGAAGAATTTAGTTCTTTGGTGTATAACTTGTTTCTCCTTATTCCTGATTAAAGGCTGTGAGAAAATAATGTTTGCTTTAATTAGCCCTTTAATGTAAATTGTTGATTTGTAATAACAGGTTAATTAATATTTATTAAACGTCTATATATGCCAGGCATGAAAATAGATATGACAGGTTTTTTTGGACTCAGAGGAGCTTAGTTTAGTGAGAAGATTCCACGTATAACTATAGCTACAATACATTGTAATAGTACTAATAAAAGCTATACACAATAAATGGAAAACACAAAACAAGGAAGGGAAACTGTCCTAAGAAAGGCTAGAAATACATGGTCAGGCAAAGCATTAAGTGCCATTTTGATTAGTTTTAAAGGAAATGTACGTGTTTTTACATGCTTGTGGATGGTTCAGAGTGCAGAGGTGTTTGGGAATTATCCTGGTGCCTTTGAAGACCTTTCAACAGTTCTGTGTGACCTGAAGTGCAGGTCTGGGCATGAGACTGGAGAGGGAAAGAGTCAGATTGTACACGGCCTTGGTAATGTGCCATGCTGGAGTCCCTTAAAGGAGTAGGATGATCAGACATACATTCTAGCCAAAATACTCAGGTGTGTGTAGAGGACATCTGGGTGAGAGGAAAATCATGTCAGATTATCAAGCAGATCCTCTGTTGATGAGGAGCATCTCAATTGAGGAAATAATAGGATTAGTTCTGCAAACAGATTATTTCCAGTCTTTTAGAAGACATTAAATTTTTAGCAGTTTAAAATGAAGGGTGGGAAGGTAGGAATTTCAGAAGATGGTCTTATATGAAAGATTCCTGGCATTTTTTTTAAAGATTTTTAGTGAGGAAGTGAGAGAAAGAGGGGTGGGGGGAGAGAGACAAATATTGATGTGAGAGATAAACATCGATCAGCTGCTTCCTGCATGCCCCCTACCCTGGATAGAGCCTGCAACCCTGGGCATGTACTCTAAGTGGGAACTGAACCAGCAACTTCTGGTGCACGGGGTAACACCTAACCAACCGAGCCACACTGGCCAGGGCTCTGGCATTCTTCACATCTGACTCCTTTTTAAAAAAATTTTCTTTTTCCAATTACAGTTTACATTCAATATGATTTTGTATTATTTTTAGATGTACAGCATAGTGGTTAGATAATCACATACTTTACAAAGTGTTTCCCAGATATTCCCAGTACCCACCTGGCACCATACATAGTTATCACAGTATTAGTGACTATATTTCCTATGCTGTACTTCACATCCCCATGAGTATTTTATAACTTCCAATCTGTACTTCTCAATCGCTTCACCCTTTTTTACCCAGTCACCCAAGCCCCCTCCCCTCTGGTAACCATCAATCTGTTTTCTGTATCTATGAATCTATTTCTCTTTTGTTGTTTTATATTGTTCTTTAGATTCTACATATAAGTGAAATCATATGGTATTTGACTTTGACTTATTTCACTTAGCATAAATCTCTCTAGGTTCACCCATGCTGTCACAAATGGTAAGATTTCTTTCTTTTTAATGGCCAAGTAATATTCCATTGTACATCCACTTGTTTATTGATGTGCACTTGGGCTGCTTCCATATCTTGACTATTGTAAAATAGTGCTGCAGTGAACATGGCGGGTGGTGGTGGTGGTGCATACATTCTTTCAAATTAGTGTTTTGGGTTTCTTCAGATATGTTCCCAGAAGTGGAATCACTGGGTCATAAGGCAGTTCCATTTTTAATTTTTTTTGAGATTCCTCCATGTTTTTCACAGTATGGAGGATCCTCAGTGGCTGTGCAAATCTGCATTTCCCACCAACCGTGAATGCGGGTTTACCAACTATGGTCATTGTGGACTTATTGATGATAGCCATTCTGTCATCAGAATTACTACATGTAAAGTGATCTCATGTCTGAGGAGATATATCAGAAAAAATATTGCTATGAGAAATGTCTGAGGCTTTACTGCCTATGTTTTCTTCTAGGGTTTTATGGTTTTAAATCTTACATTTAAGTCTTTACCCATTTTGAGTTTATTTTTGTGTATGGTGTAAGAAGGTGGTCTTTCATTTTTTTTTCTTTTTGCTTCTATCTGTCCAATTTTCCCAATACCGTTTATTGAATGGACTGCCCTTGGCTCATTTTTCAATACCAGATGACCATATAGGCATGAGTTTTTTTCTAGGGTCTCTATTCTGTTCCATTCAGTTTTTGGCCTGTTTTTATGCTAGTACTATGCTGTTTTGATTACTTTGACCTTGTAGTATAGTTTAATGTCAGGTAGCATGATGCCTCCAACTTTGTTCTTTCCTAACATTGCTGTGGCTGTTTGGGTCTTTTGTGGGTCCATACACATTTTTGGACTATTTCTTTTATTTGTGTGAAATATGCCATTGGTATTTTTATAGGAATTGCATTCATTTGTTAGACTGTTCTGGGTAGTATGGAAATTTTTGTTTTTGTTTTGCTGTTATCCAAATGTCTTTTCTTAAAATATATTTTTATTGATTTCAGAGAGGAAGGGAGAGGGAAAGATAGAAACATAAATGATGAGAGAGAATCATTGATTGGCTGCCTCCTGCATGCCTCACTGAGCCACACCGTGGCTGGGCCAAATGTGTTCATTGATTTTATAGCATTCTGGGCATTTCCCATCCATGAAGTAGGAATTGGGGCTCTGCACTAGGCATGTCTTCTTGTGTTTCCTCTCATCTTCTGGAGAGGGATGGAGATCCATCGTGAGAGGCATGTTGCAGAGAGGTTGAAATCGCCAGAAATTAGTATGGACATTTGAATGATGTTAATTTTTCCTATCCCTAAACATGGTATAATGCTCCCATTTACTTGTACCTTCTTCAATTTCTTTCTTCAGTGTCTTATCATTTTCCCAAGAAAGATGGTGCCTATGGACGAGGGACTCAATACAGGGATCCTGGTCATTGTCCCTTTAGCTCTACCCTCGGAGTCACACTACTCATTTTCTCCAAACATGAGTCTAGTTCACTTCGAGCTGTCCTTCCTCCACTGGAGCCCAGAAGGTGTGGCTGAGAAAAATATTTTGTGCCCTGGCCCTTTAACAGGGCACCTGGGTTTCTAGCTGACTCCTGTCTCTCCCTGTTGACAGAATCCCTGTCTCTCCCTGTTGACAGAATCCCTGTTGATTTTCACAGCCAGATGTTATGTGGGCTCTGCTTCTTGATTCTTGATTCTCGGTGGTAGAGCATGGCATGGGCTTGAGACCCCATGTTCCTCAGGGGAGACTTTTACAACTGAGATATATCCTCGAGGATTCTCAGCTGCCTCATGTGAGAATGGGGTCAGGCCTTTCTCCCATTATCGGTGTGGCTTCTGTAAATCCTTCGTTACAAGACTTCTGTTCAGCTAGTCTTCAGTTGGTTATTCAGGCAGATCGTTCTATATTTTAGTTGCAATTGCAGTTTAGTTCTGGAAGATGAGTGTAACTTCCACCTACTCTGTTGCCATCAGATCCCGACTCTAACCTTAATTATCATTACACATTGTAGACCATTTCCTTTCATCAGGGTTAAGAGGGTACTTCTTTTTTTTTTCTTTTAAATATATTTTGATTTTTTACAGAGAGGAAGAGAGAGGGATAGAGAGAAACATTGATCAGCTGCCTCTTGCACACCTCCTATTGGGGATGTGCCCGCAACCAAGGTACATGCCCTTGGCCGGAATCGAACCTGGGACTTTTCAGTCCGCAGGCTGACGCTCTATCCACTGAGCCAAACCGTGGATATTTTAGGGCTAGAGGGTACTTCTTGTATTCACTGTAAAAAATGTTTAATAAAGTCCATGTAAATTACTTGTTTATTGTAGTTGTGTAAAGGGTATAATGGATTTGTACTTATGTATATTGACATTGGTTTTTTTTGTGTATGTGTGCTGCTCATCAGGATGTCATGGTCGCAGGTGGGATGGAGAGCATGTCCAATGTTCCCTACGTGATGAACAGAGGAGCAACTCCATATGGTGGGGTAAAGCTTGAAGATTTGATTGTAAAAGATGGGCTAACTGATGTCTACAACAAAATTCATATGGTAATTATTGCTTTAAAAATTATATATATATTTTATTTCAGAGAGGAAGGAAGGGAGAGATAGAAACATCAGTGATGAGAGAGAATCATTGATTGGCTGCCTCCTGCACGCCCCCTACTGGGAATTGAACCATGACACTCAACCACTGAGCCACGATAGCTGGGCTTAAATTATATGTATTTAGAAATTGAATTGAAGGATGGGCTCTATAAATGTCTATTTTAGCCATTCATTTGAAGAAAATATTTTTCTATGCTCACTGCATCAGCTTGGCTCAACTATTGAGTAAATTGCTGTACACCAGAGTAGGGCATTTTCTGATTTCTCATAATGGATTCTGTAACTATTTAATTATTTGCCTTCAAAATAGCAACAGCTGAGCTAATTCAAGTATTTGAAGATGAGACATGAGTGAAAAGTTACCTAGTACAGAAGAGTATATTTTAAGAAACTAACTGCTTTTTTATGTTATGCAAAGATAATGTATATTTTATAAGGTATGCAACATTAATTAGTTTTCTTTAAAAATTCCAACTTTTATCAGGGTAACTGTGCTGAGAATACTGCAAAAAAGATGAATATTTCACGAGATGAACAGGATACTTATGCTATTAACTCCTACACGGGATAGAGAGAAACATTGATCAGCTGCCTCTTGCACACCTCCTATTGGGGATGTGCCCGCAACCAAGGTACATGCCCTTGGCCGGAATCGAACCTGGGACTTTTCAGTCCGCAGGCTGACGCTCTATCCACTGAGCCAAACCGTGGATATTTTAGGGCTAGAGGGTACTTCTTGTATTCACTGTAAAAAATGTTTAATAAAGTCCATGTAAATTACTTGTTTATTGTAGTTGTGTAAAGGGTATAATGGATTTGTACTTATGTATATTGACATTGGTTTTTTTTGTGTATGTGTGCTGCTCATCAGGATGTCATGGTCGCAGGTGGGATGGAGAGCATGTCCAATGTTCCCTACGTGATGAACAGAGGAGCAACTCCATATGGTGGGGTAAAGCTTGAAGATTTGATTGTAAAAGATGGGCTAACTGATGTCTACAACAAAATTCATATGGTAATTATTGCTTTAAAAATTATATATATATTTTATTTCAGAGAGGAAGGAAGGGAGAGATAGAAACATCAGTGATGAGAGAGAATCATTGATTGGCTGCCTCCTGCACGCCCCCTACTGGGAATTGAACCATGACACTCAACCACTGAGCCACGATAGCTGGGCTTAAATTATATGTATTTAGAAATTGAATTGAAGGATGGGCTCTATAAATGTCTATTTTAGCCATTCATTTGAAGAAAATATTTTTCTATGCTCACTGCATCAGCTTGGCTCAACTATTGAGTAAATTGCTGTACACCAGAGTAGGGCATTTTCTGATTTCTCATAATGGATTCTGTAACTATTTAATTATTTGCCTTCAAAATAGCAACAGCTGAGCTAATTCAAGTATTTGAAGATGAGACATGAGTGAAAAGTTACCTAGTACAGAAGAGTATATTTTAAGAAACTAACTGCTTTTTTATGTTATGCAAAGATAATGTATATTTTATAAGGTATGCAACATTAATTAGTTTTCTTTAAAAATTCCAACTTTTATCAGGGTAACTGTGCTGAGAATACTGCAAAAAAGATGAATATTTCACGAGATGAACAGGATACTTATGCTATTAACTCCTACACCAGAAGTAAAGCAGCATGGGAAGCTGGGAAGTTTGGAAATGAAGTTATTCCTGTCACAATTACAGTAAAAGGTAGAGCGATAATGTTCCAAATACATTTTAATTTTTAGTAGACTTCACATGTTGCAAAATTTTTTATGTTTAAGTCTTAGTCCTTTTTTTATTTTGTTAATCCTCGCCTGAGGATATTTTTTCCATTGATTTTAGAGAGGTTGTAAGGGAGGGGGAAAAACAGAGAGAGAGAAACATTGATATGAGAGACACACATTGATTGGTTGCCTCCCACATGAGCCCAACCAGATTGAGCCTGCAACCAAGGTATGTGCTCTTAACCAGAATGGAAGCGCCATCCTTCAGTCTGTGGGCTGACATGGGCCGACGCTCTATTACTGAGCCAAAGTGGCTAGGACTAAATTTAGTACATTTTAATCTTTTTCATTTAAATGAGGACACTGACCTTTCTGCTTAATTACGGGAAATGTTGCCATTTCAGACAGTTCAACCCAATTTAATATAAGATTTCATTAAAATTGGCTCAGGCTTCCTAATTTTCTATCTTTATTCATAGCTCAAACAGAGCTCCTGACCAACTCCAGAATAAATCCACAGTAAAGGTTCATTTCCCTGGCTTAGGTTACATTTCCATTCCAGGAATGATTAACGTGCCCAGCATGATGGACTATAAGGGCTTATCCAGCCTAGGGCAGACAACTACCCCTGGGGTCAGGAGAATGGGATCTGTGATTACAGAAGGAGGTGGGGAGACAAGAGAACCGGTGTGGCTGAATAGAAGATTTAAAGTGCTTTAAGCTATGTAATAACTTGTAAGACACTAACAGATTACAGATGGTAGGTTGTACAACAGAATTTATTCGGATGGTTTAAGGTATGCTGGCATACAAAGAAAGGCACAGACTACCAGGCACCGAATTGTTGTCTTGACTGGTGATAACTTAAACGATGTTTGTTTTAGGTAAACCAGATGTAGTGGTAAAAGAAGATGAAGAATATAAACGTGTTGATTTTAGCAAAGTTCCAAAGCTGAAGACAGTTTTCCAGAAAGAAAACGGTTAGTATTAAGAAATGAAGGATAAGAAAAAATGGGAGTATTAATACTGTATCTAGTCTTGGAATTGCCTAAGGATTTAAAAAAAGTAATTCTAGAAAACATCTAGGAACTATTTAACATTTTCAATACATCAGGCTCAAGTGAAATTAAGAAAACAAATATTTATCCAAAGTATATTTAAAATTGCTTAACAGTGAATGCCTTTAATAGATAAATCCTAGGAAAGAGATTAGTAAACCAGCATTTGCCCAGTGCCATCATGCATGTGTTTCAGAGCTAGCTCTGAATAAACTGTTATAAAAAATTAACACAAAAAAGCATTCTTACATTAATTTATAGTTATGTATATGTTTCCAAAGGGCAGGAGCTATCTCCATCTGTATTTGTAATTTTCCATGCATCTAGCAACATAGGCAGTACTAGGTAGGAACTTGTTTAATTGAACCAAATGGATTCAGTGTGAAGGAATGTTTTGACTTCATGCTCATTGATGCCTTCAGGCACAGTCACAGCTGCCAACGCCAGCACACTGAATGATGGAGCAGCCGCTGTGATTCTGATGACTGCAGATGCAGCCAAGAGACTCAATGTCAAACCACTGGCAAGAATAGCAGGTAGAGAATGTTCTGAACTTGTTTATTCCTAAACCTCTGCAAGCCGTTCCTGAAACTGAGTCTCCTTGTCAGTAATACATAATATTGAAGCCATCTGTAGCTACATAGGTTGTGCTTTGTGACAGGATATAACTAGTACATATTTTAACAGGGATAGAAGCTCCTTTAATATTATTATAATTTTCTTTATATAATAGTAAGCTTTAAAAATATTTTCCTCTCCTAGAAAATGAGTGGGAAAATACAGGGTGCATGTTTTATTTTACCCAGGCATGTAGGGAACAGTAGCCAGATAAAATCCCATATACATAAAAAGAACATGGGATGAAGAGTCTAGAAATATGAAGTCTAGATGTTCTTCCATTTATTATTTCTGGGCTTGGCATACCCTCAGATTACTTAAGCCTATCTTCAGCTGTAAAATCTGCCTTGCCTTCTTCATAAGGAGTTAAACAGAAATTTTGTTACTTTATAAAAACCTTGTGACTGAATTTATTCTTAGTTTAGATCATGGTTTCTTAACCTCAGCACTATTGATATTTTACAATAAATAATTCTTTCTTTTTTGGGTTTGTTCTGTGCATTGTAGGATGTTTAGCAGATTTTTGGCCTCTACTACTAGTTACTATAGTAAGTGGCATTGTACCCATTAGGACAACTAAAAATATCTCTAGTTAACACCAATGTCCCTGGAGGCAAATTTCCCCTAACCCCCCACTTGTGAAAATCAATGACTTATAAAGTGTAGAATGAAACAAATACATTTACATTTATTTCAGGGGATAGGAAATTTGCATTTTTGCATATTATACAGGGTGTCCCAAAAAATGTATACACACTTTAAAAGCTGATAGATCGATTTTGAAAATGAAATGTATTTTAATAAACACTACCTTTATAATTATTCTAAGTATGTGTATACATTTTTTTGGGGACACCCTATATATAACAGTTGTTAGACCTTTGAGTGCATATAAAAAAGATTTTAAAAGCTTTTTATTTTTTTATGAAGCATTTGCTGACGCTGCTGTAGAACCTATTGATTTTCCAATTGCACCTGCATATGCTGTACCTAAGGTAAGAACATACTCCATTCTGCGAAACTGAACAAAATAAACTGATAAATAAAATAGAACCAGAGCCATTCAGAGGGAAGGAGGGAGCGGGGGTTGGAAGAGAGTAACCAAAGAACATATATGCATACATGCATTACCCACGGACACAGACAACAGGGTAGTAAAAGCTTGGGGTGGGGAGGGATCCAGGTGAAGGGAGGCAAAAAGGAGGTCATCTGTAATACTCTCAACAATAAAGATTTAAAAACCCATAGCGATACCAAATGACCCAAGAATTCCAGTCCTATGTATATACCCAAGAGAATTAAAAAAAAAAAAAAAAAAAAAAAGGCAAGGGTGCCTGAGGCAGGCTAGATGCTGAGGGCTAGAGAAGTGGTTCACACCTGGGTGCCATGTTTTGTCTAGTGCTGCTGGAAAAGAGGAAGCTGCTTGAACTCCACAGCTTAGAAAGTTACCTGAGCCCAATGGAGGAAGAGAGAATAGTTTCTTGTTAATTTTACTGTTGCTCACAACATAAAAACTTCTAAAGAAAAAGGGCACTAGCAATATTTTATAAAGATAATCATTACCATCACAACACTTTCCTGCCTATGAGGAACTACCAAAACAAGAGATATTTAAATTTAAAAAGACTTCAAACAAGTAAAATAATTTAAATAAATAATTCACAGTAAAGTAACAATAGCTCTGAATATCTGTGCTCCAAATGATTCCACAGCAACTTTTATAAGCAGAAACTATAAGGGATGCAGTAAAAACATTAACCATACCAACAGTAGACATTAATATACCTTTCATTTGACAGACCAAACTTCTCCAAGATAGAAATTGAGATAGTGCAAATAAAATCTTTTGATTGCAGTGCAGTAAGTTGAGAAATTAAAATCAGAAAATAAAAGGTCTATTCTTCCTGGAAACTAACAAACTACATATTTAGATATCTCTTGCATCAAAGGGAAGTACAAACTGAATTTCTGGTTAAGATGGCGGACTAGGTAAATACTGTGCGCACCTTATCCTATGACCACGTCAAAATCACAACTAAATTACAAAACCACCATCACTGAGAACCACCTGCAGCCTAAGTGAACATAACTCCTGTAACTGGATATAGTTAGGAAGAAGCCACGTCAAGACTGTTGGAGGAGTGGAGACACGGAGTGGGCAGGTCCTATACCCATGGTGTGGCAATTAAGAGTTGGGAGGGATAGCTCAGCTGTGGCGGTCCCCTCTGAGTAATAAAGGGTCCCAGCCCATAGCTCCAGTGCCAGGAAGGAGAGGTCCTCATAACATCTGGCTGTGACCATCAGTGGGAATTGTGGCTAAGTGAGAAAGAAGGCTGCCATAGTCCCATGCGTTCCCCTTAAAGGCCCGTGCGTGGACTTGCTTGCCGACACTCACTCCCTCTGGGCTCCAGTAAAGGGAGACAGATGGGGAAGAACTAAATTGACTAGCTTCAGGGGTAGGGCTCTGCATGAAAGTATTGGCAGGCAGGCAGGCAGGCAAGCAGGCACTAAACTGAACTCTCCATTAACCTGGTTAACACTGTTTGCCCTTTCCCCTCCTCCTCCCAACTCATGCAGCTAGTCTGAATCTCTTCCAGCAGTTTTTCCGTCTAAGTGCCTTAACTTGGCTTGTGCTGTGGACTTTCCTAAAAAATGACAAAGGTTCACAATACTGAAACAAGCATCATGTGGCTTCAATGTTCCCTGTAACTCTTGTTTAAATAGCCCCAAGCCTGGCACAGGCAACGATTGGTGTCAACTTGACATTGTAACGTCCATCAGGTGGCCACAAACCTGGCATAAACAGTGGCCAGAGTTGGCTATAATTAAGCAGCCACAGCACAAGTGGCAGCTGGCCTCAGCTCAGTGTTGTGTCCACCAAAAGTCCCATGCCTGGCAAAGGTGGCAGCCAGCCTTAGTTTGCAGGATAGCCTCTCCCAAGTACCTTCAAGCCCCGCAGAAGTGGCATTCAACCAGAGGTCACTTTGTAGCTCCTACCAGGCAGCACCAAGCCAGGAACAAAGGATGGCTGACCTTGACATCACCAAAGCCCCTCCAAGGGCCTCTAGAACCAACATACCTGGTGGCCAGCTTCAGAGGATGCGAGAGCATCACCCAACCAGCTCCACAAATGACACACCAAAGGGCGGACTTGGCTGGCACCAAAGCCTGATTACAGTGACTCCTGCTCTGTGGGATCTGATCCTGCAAAAGAGCTTGTCTGCTGTGATCATGGCAAGCCCTCATGAGGGTCAACTCCACCTACTGACAAGCCAATAGCAAATGAGGCTCAACTACAGTAGGAGGGCACATACAGCTCACACAAAGGACACCCATAGAGCTACCAGCTTAGGAGACTGGGCCCCACCTGGGGCTACTCTGAAGACCAGGAGATGTACTAGTTCTACCTAATACACAGAGATATACAGCCCAAATGAGGAGACAAAAGGAACATCCCAAATGAAAGAACAGATTAATCCTCCAGAGCAGTGGTTCTCAACCTTCTGGCCCTTTAAATACAGTTCCTCATGTTGTGACCCAACCATAAAATTATTTTCGTTGCTACTTCATAACTGTAATGTTGCTACTGTTACGAATCGTAATGTAAATATCTGATATGCAGGATGGTCTTAGGCGACCCCTGTGAAAGGGTCGTTTGACCACCAAAGGGGTCGCGAACCACAGGTTGAGAACCGCTGCTCCAGAGAAAGAACTAATGAAATGGTGACAAGCAATGTACCAGGTACAGAATTCAAAACACTGGTTATAAGGATGCTCAATTAGCTTAGGGGAAAATTAGATGAAGTCAGTGAGAACTTCAAACAGAAAGCATAAAAGTGAACCAGTTAGAAATGAAGAACCCCAATGACATAACGCACAGAACATCCAGACAGAAAACTGATAAGGAAATAGTTGCCTTAAATGACACATTACAGAAGGATGTAATTAATATTTTAAAGATAAGTCACCCCAAAACAGTAGAATATAAATTCTTCTGAAGTGCACATGGAACATTTTATAGAATAGACCACATGTTAGGCTACAAAACAAGTGTCAATACATTTAAGATTGAAATGTGAAGCATAATATTTCACAATGGTATGAAACTAGAAATCAGTTATAATAAAACTAAAAGCACAGACATGTGGAGGCTAAATAACATGCTACTAAACAATGAATGAGTGAACAATGGATCAAGGAAGAAATCAAGATACTGTGAGACAAAATGATCCAAAATCAATGGGACACAACCAAAGCAGTTCTGAAAGGGAAATTAACAGCAATAGAGGCTTGCCTCAAGAAGCAAGAAAATAAAAGCCCTGGTTCATGTGGTTCAGTTGGTTTAGAGCAGCGGTCGGCAAACTGCGGCTCGGCAAACCACAGCTCGCGAGGCACATGCGGCTCTTTGGTCCCTTGAGTGTGGCTCTTCCACAAAATAGCGGCTCTTCCACAAAATACCGACTTTTGCGCATGGGCCACAAAGTTTCAATCGCACTGTACATGTGTGTGCCCGCATGTGGTATTTTGTGGAAGAGCCACACTGAAGGGACCAAAGAGCCGCATGTGGCTCGCGAGCCACGGTTTGCCAACCACGGGTTTAGAGCATCTGAATGGTGGTGGGTTTGATTCTCAGGGCACATACCCAGGTTGCAGGTTCAATCCCCAGTTGGGGCATGTACAGAAGGCAACCAAACGATGTTTCTTATATCAGTGTTTCTCCTGCTTTCTCTCTGAAATCAATAAAAAGCATATGTTTGGGTGAGGATTTTAAAAAAATCAAACAAACAATTTAACATTATAACCAAAGGAACTAGAAAAAGTACAACAAACAAAGCCCAAAGTGAGTAGAAAGAAGACATTGAAATAGTCTAGAAAAATGATACAAAAGATCAATGAAACCAAGGGCCAGTTCTTTAAAAAGGTAACTGAAAAATAAAATGAAATATATGGGAAATAAAACCAAAATTGCAGAATTTCAAGAAAACAAGTTTTGATTGTTAATTACTTGAACATAATATGTAAAATTTTTTTAGGTTCTTAAAGCTGCAGGAGTGAAAAAAGATGATATTGCAATGTGGGAAGTAAATGAAGCCTTTAGTCTGGTTGTACTAGCAAACATTAAGATGCTGGAGATTGACCCTCAAAAAGTAAATATCAATGGAGGAGCTGTTTCTCTGGGACATCCAATTGGGTAGGTAAAATCATAAAGAAAAATCTCTAAGTAGGTTAATAAGTGCCGTTGTGTTTCTATTTAAAAGTGTTTCATGATAACTCCTATTACTCTGTGTTAAATAGATTTCTTTCCTACCCTTCATAAGGCAAACACCATTTGTGATAGGACTGAACATTGAACACAGATCTGTAACATTTGTTGCTTGAAAATTAATATTTTATTTAGAAGATTTAAGATTACAGTCTATGCTTGGGCCTTTAGAAAACCGTAACCATTATTAAATCGAGTCTCCCAAGTTTAAGAGAAGTAACAAAATTCAGCTATGATTAATGGTAATAAACTTTTAAAGAATTTAGAAAAGAACTTTTGGATACTTACTCATTCTATTACTTCATTAAAGAATCAAAATGCTTTCTTACTCCTAGGATGTCTGGAGCCAGGATTGTTACTCATTTGGTTCATGCCTTGAAGCAGGGAGAATATGGTCTTGCCAGTATCTGCAATGGAGGAGGTGGGGCTTCTGCCATACTGATCCAGAAACTGTAAGACGACCTGTCACCAGTGTGGCTGACTTCCTTGGATCAGCTTATACTCCAAAGAATGTTTCCTTTTTTATTATTTTCTATTTTAACTTTTTCTAAATAAGATGAAAAGATCAAATCCCAAAACATTTTGAAATTATAAATAAATTTTTTCTTCTGCTTTAAATTTTTGTTAATCTTCAGAAGTTTCCTATTTTTGTTATAAAGCTATATTTGAAATGCCAGTGTGCAAACTTAGTGGCTTACCAGTAGGTAGGGCAGTGATGGCGAACCAATGACACGCATGTCAGAGGTGACACGCGAACTCATTTTTTTGGTTGATTTTTCTTTGTTAACATGGCATTTAAATACATAAAATAAATATCAAAAATATAAGTCTTTGTTTTACTATGGTTGCAAATATCAAAAAATTTCTATATGTGACACGGCACCAGAGTTAAGTTAGGGTTTTTCAAAATGCTGACACACCGAGCTCAAAAGGTTCGCCATCACTGAGGTAGGGGCTTAGTAAACAAAAATAATTCTTCAAACATCTAGGTAGAAAAATGTGTAGCCTGTTCTTATTTCCATTATAGTAAATGCCAGAAGACAAGGAACAAACATCTGCATAATATTTTTAACAGAGACCTAGCTGGTTTGTTTGGCTCAGTGGATAGAGGGTCCGCCTGCAGACAGAAGGGTCCCAGGTTTGATTCCAGTCAAGGACGCATACCTCGGTTGCAGGCTTGATCCCTAGCTCTGGTTGGAGTTGGTGTGGGAGGCAACCAATCGATGTGTCTCTCTCACATCCATGTTTCTCTCTGTTTCTCCCCCTCCCTTCCACTCTCTCTAAAAATCAATGGAAAATATCCTTGGGTAAGGATTAACAACAACATATACATATTAATGGAATCTATAATAATAAAAGCGTAATATGCTAATTAGACTGGATGTCCTTCCGGGCGACCTTCTGGATGAAGCTGGGGCTGTGAGGGAAGCCCAGGTCCTAGGTACCTGTCGGCGGCCAGAGGGAAGCCCGGGTCCCGGGTGCCTGCTGGTGACTGGAGGTAAGCCTGGGTCCTGATGCCAGAGGGAAGCCAGTGCCGGCAGCCAGGGGAAGGAAGGCCTACTCTTGCACAAATTTTGTGCATTGGGCCTCTAGTAAAGTAATAAAAGCCACTAGAAGGTGTCTGGGCACACAGTAGTTTAGAAATATAGCACTGTGATGTTTCCTCAAAGAATGATGAAAAAAAAATAATCAAAATTAAGAAATTAGGAATGTGAAACTTTAAAAGTTTTTAAATGATTAAGGACTGGTTGGGGATGAAGGTTAGTTAGTGGTAAAATAGGAATAGACATTTTACAGTTGGCTCAACAATGAGGGGTTAGGGGGCTGATTTCCTGTGCAGTCAAAAACCTGCATATATTGCCAGACCGGTTTGGCTCAGTGGATAGAGCGTCGGCCTGTGGACTGAAGGGTCCCGGGTTCGATTCCGGTCAAGGGCATGTACCTTGGTTGCGGGCACATCCCCAGTAGGAGGTGTGCAGGAGGCGGCTGGTCAGGAGACGGCTGGTCGATGTTTCTCTCTCATTGATGTTTCTAACTCTCTATCCCTCTCCCTTCCTCTCTGTAAAAAATCAATAAAATATATTTAAAAAAAAACAAAAAACAAACAAACAAAAAAAAAAACCTGCATATAGCCTGACTGGTGTGGCTCAGTGGTTGAGTGCCAAACTATGAACCACGAGGTCATGGTTCGATTTCCAGTCAGGTTATATCCCCAGGTTGTGGGTTCGATCTCCAGTAAAGGTGTTTGTGCAGGAGGCAGGTGATCAATGATTCCTTCTCATTATTGATGTTTCTATCTCTCCCTCTTCCTTCCTCTCTGAAATCAACAAAAATATATTTTAAGAAAATCTGCGTATAACTTGATTCCCCAAGAACTAAGTTATCTTTCAGTATCTGCGGGGGATTGGTTCCAGGACCCCCTGTGGCTACAAAAAAACAAAGATGTTCAAGTGCCTTACATAAAATGGCATAGACCAATGCATACAGTTGGCCTTTCATATCCACAGACTCCCAGTACAGGTATTTATTGAAAAATATCTGTGTATAAGTGAACCAACACAACTCAAACTCATGTTGTTCAAGGTCAACTGTATATGCTAAATAAGGGCAAATGCCCATATAAATAAAAACGAGTTCGACATTTTAAATTACTATAGAAGGTAAGAGTTGAAAAGGCCAATTATCTATACCAGTGGTCGGCAAACTCATTAGTCAACAGAGCCAAACATCAACAGTACTTCTTCAAAATAGACTCATCCAGGCCGAAAACCAACTTCTGCGCATGGGCCACGAAGTTTCAATTGCACTGTATGTGCGCCCCCACGTGGTATTTTGTGGAAGAGCCACACTCAAGGGGCCAAATAACTGCATGTGGCTCGCGAGCCGGTTTGCTGACCACGGATAAAAGCCTATGTGGTTGCCACGCCCTCATGCCGTGATGCCTTCACGCTGTAACAATCTGTCATCAAGAGGCTGCGTGCGCGCGCAGGTGGGCAGGGACTTGACGCAGCGTGCGCAGCGTGGAGGCAGATCCCACGTCTCCGTGTGGAGCTGGGTCCCAGCAGCTCTGTGTGGCGGGACTCCCGGCTCCGGCCTACCTCTTTGGGACAATCCATTGAGGAGCCCCAGATGGGTGGGTGGGGCCTACCTCTTTGGGGAGCTCAATGGCAGGGCTCCCGCACTGTGAGAGGGCACAGGCCAGGCTGGGGAACCCCCCCCCCCACCCGAGTGCATGATTTTTGTGCACCGGGCCTCTAGTAAAATATAAAGAGAAGTAACTTCTAAATTTATTAAAAAGAAGAAAGTGTTAAAATAGGACAAACACTATTCTGTATAAAGAAAAGATTATTCAAAGTAAAATTGTACAGAATCCAATGACAAGTAGAAGGGCACAAAAATAATTTTTTTATGGAGGATGACAGGAAAATTTAGCCCACAATTAGGAGTTGACTGTGATCCTCCCTTGAGAACAGGGATGTCAGCAGATGCCACCTCTGCCTTCGGACTTATGCCCACTACAAATCAGTATTTCCTAGAAGGAGCTTGCACACATGTGTGGCAATCAACTTTCATAGGTGATCAGGCCCTTGGATCACCCGGCTTTGATAGCCAACAAGGTTTGCACTCATGGGTCCAACAAAAACTAAAGCAAAGCAGCAGGTATTAATGGGTGCATAAGCCCCACTGCCCACTGCCATCTGCCCAGAAGGGCCCTAATATATTCTTTCCCAGCTGCTACCTGATGTTAGTTTCTAATCAGCCTGCATCTAGGTATTCACTGCAATCCTCCCTTTTAGGACACTGGTTTTTGGCACATCTTCAACTATTGGGAGCAACTAAAAACAAAGAAGGCCACAAGGACAGTTGCAACAGTTTAAGAGGCAATAAGGAGCTCTGGCCAGGCTGATTGTGTCCTACACAGATCATTCTGTTAAGACTGGGAGAGGTGGCTGTTTCACCTAGTGCACAGAAACCAACACAGAAAGTAAAGGAAAATGAAGAAAGAGAGGAATATGTTCCAAACAAAAGAACAAAAAACATTCCAGAAACAGACCTTAATTAAAAAGAGACAAGTGATTTACCTGATAAAAAAATCAAATTGATGGTCATAAAGATGCTCAACAAGGTTAAGAGAATAAATGCATAAAGTGAGAATTTTAAAAGAGAAAGAAAATATAAGTATCACACAGAATTGAAGAAGACAATAATTACACTAGAAAATTCAACAGAGGGGTTCAACATCAAAAGTTAAGATGGCTAGAGGCTTTATGTGACACAATCAAATGGGCAAATATATGCATTACTGGGGTCCCAGAAGGAGAAGAGAGAAAGAGGGGAAAAGATTATTCAAAGAAATCATGGCAAGAAAACTTATAATCTGGGAAATGAAACAAAAAACCATACAAGGAAGCCCAAAGAGGGGGGTGGGGGAATGCAGAGAGCCCCACACCAAGACACATTGTAATTAAATTGCCAAAGTAAAAGATAAGGAGAGAATCTTAAAAGCAGCAAGAGACAATTTGTTATGTACAAGGGAACCACAGTAAGACAATAAGCAGATTTTTTAGCAGAAACTTTACAGATCAGATTGAGTGGCATGAGTGGCATATTCAAAGTGTAGAAAGAAAAAACTTCCAACTAAAAAACTTTTACCAGCAAAGCTGTCCTTCAGAATTGAAGGAATGATAATTTCCAGACAAGCAAGAGCTGCAGTTCATCATTAGTATACTGGCCTTGTAAGAAATGCTAAAGAACCTTCTTCAACCTGAAACAAAAGAACACAAATTAGTAACAAGAAAACATTTAAAAGTATTAAGTCTCACTGCGACAGATAAATTCAGAATGTTCTAATGCAATGGTGGTGTACAGTAAATCACTTATAACAACAGTATAAAGGTTAAAATACAAAATATTAAAAAGGTGTAACTTCAAAAAATTATTAATAGATATACAAGGTGGAAAATACAGTGGGGCCTTGACTTATGAGTTTAATTCGTTCCGTGACGGAGCTCGTAACTCAAATTACTCGTATGTCAAAGCAAAAGTGAACGAGTGAGACACGTGATGCTGGGCTGATGTTGTGGCTTTCACTGTGACGTTAGCTGCGCCAACTAGCGGTGGGGTATCTGAAGCTGGCTCGTAACCCGAATTTTAGCTCTCAACTCAAAGCAAAAAATCGGCCGAGAGACGGCTCGTATCTCGAAAAACTCGTTAGTCGGGACACTCGTAAGTTAAGGCCCCACTGTATATAAATTGTGACATCAAAAACAAAATGGTGGGGAAGGAGAATAAAAGTGTAGACCTGTAGTATGCATTAAATTACAGAGCTGAAAATACTTATAAACACAAGGTATTTTATGTCAGCATGGTAGACACAAAGCAAAAACCTACAGTAGATACACAAGAGATAAAGAGAATCTAAGCACAGCATTACAAGAAAACATCAAATTACCATGGAAGAGAGTAAGAGATAAATAAATGATAAAACAGCTGGAGAACAACTATGTACTACTAAGTCCATATCTATCAATAACTATGAGTATAAAGAACGAAATTCTTTAATCAAAAGACAAAAAGTTGCCTGCCTGGCATTGTGCAATGGCTGAACATCAACCTATGAACC